GCTAGGGGAGGGCGCCAAGGCCTGCGGGCTGCAGCGGGGCGCAGCCAAGTGCGGGGGACCAGAGGAATCGGAGGCGTGGGAGTGGGTGCTGGGTGCCCCGCGGGAGACAGGTGCTGCCGCGAACCGTGCTGTTGAAAAAGCTGCCGAGACTGTTCCATTTCCAGAGCAGCGCTTCCTCCAGCCCCTTTTCTCCTCGCTGCGCCCTAGGGTTTCTCCTTCCACTCGGCCCCCTTCCTCTCGGGCCTTTAACACGCGTGACAAAGACCAGGCATTGAAATCCACTTTGCTGGCGCAGTGGGTGCCCTGCCTAGGAATCCGTCCCACCCAGGGTGGAGGAAGACAGGGGTGCTCTGTGGCCTCAGGCCCCAGGCGGCCAGAGGAGGAAAAGCAGACACTGGTGGGGGAAGGGGCTGTCCCTGGGACCCCATATACGGGGAAATCCGGAAAACAGTGATGGGAGGTGACGGAATTAAGTCAGACAAAATGGGAGTCACGGGAAATGTAAGGAAGCACCCGATGGGAGAACAGTCACCCCAACCAAACTCAACCACGGGCAGCAGTCTTAATCCTCAAGGGAAAGCTGCCCTCTGCTTTAGGAAATAAGCAAACTCTTAATTCTGCTTAGAACCAGCCTAATCACAGGAGGGCACGGCCCATTAGCTGAGGCTGGGTCTGGCAAGGACAAATCAAAAATAGAGCCCTGTCCAGTCAATGACACCGGCCCTGGTGCAGCCCATCTACTTCCTAATCTAAGTCCTTCAGGACCTTGGTGTAAGCCGTGGGAACACAGCCAGCTCCTGAGCTAGCAGGGAGGGCCGGGTGCAGCTCCAGGAGGGACCCGCTGCAGGGGATCCCTCAGGCCATGAAAAAACCCAGTTTCTGCTCCAATCCCAGCTTTCTTCCCTTTGCCTGCAATGTCCTTTGATGGCTTTGGTGTGAGCAGCAGGCACTCTCTGGGCACCACCAGGATACCCACAGCAGCTCCTAGGACCCTGGCAGCAGCTGCCAGTCTGTTCAGTTCATTTTCTCTTAAGGAGCAGCAACAGCAGCTGCTCTCAGTAGTGACCCACCCAGTATGTACGGAGGA